TTGTCATGATATTGGAGGTGGGAAATGAAGATCTGTTTCTGTGGAGGGGGCTTTCTTAACCTCCCAGAGGACAACAGTCATAACAGAAACTGACGATGAGTGAAAGCAGATGATTGCTGAGACTTCCTTTTACTTTTGCTTGAATCAACTTCAAGCTTAAAGAGATGCACTAAATTAAGCACTTTCCTCACTATTACTTTTGTTTGTGTGTGTGTGTTTTTTACCATGTTGTGTCACTTGGATCAGGGGAAGAGCACTGCAGACGCTTTTTTTTTTTTGCTTGCTTGCTTGCTTTAGGAATTCAGAGGCTCTCTAATCCATCACATCGCTGTCATCCCCACATCTCTGTCCGCTCTTCCCTTCCCTTTCCCTGCCCTGGCCTCACTACAGCTCATTAGCGCCCCGCAAGCTGTTGTGACAACTCATCATATCATGACATAAAGCAGAAGGACAGGGGGCTCCAGACCCCCACAGGGGCTCACAAGGTCGCCACCTTCACATTTAGGGCTCAAATTGGCCCTGCGAGGTGCCACCAGGCGGAAATGCAAGGCCAACAGTTTTTCCTGTCTGGTCTCCACCTCTTGTGCTCCCTTTCTTTGTCTTTCTCCGTCCTGCTGTCACTTTTTCTCCTCTATCTGCCTTGTTCTGCTCCCCCACTTTCACCCTCACAGAGGGAGAACTTGAAGCAGCTCATTTATTCGTCCACTTTCAAAAGGCTTTTCTCTGTTTCCTCTTTACTCGTACAGAAATGGGGGACATTGTCGATGCAGGCTGTTTTTTATGTGTGCGGAAACGTTTTGTTGTCATAAATTCAGTTCGTTGAAAACAGGATTAGCATCGTACCTTTAAAATGTAGTTTTTAGACTTTTGAGTGTAGTATCTTTTTTCTGAATCTTGAAAATCTGTGTTTGTTTGTCATAAGAAGAGATGCTGGGAAGATACATGTCAGCAGGGGTGGCAGGAGCAGGAAGTGTTTTTATTTATTTATTTCTTTTCCTCCTGGCTTTTGTGGAGTAAAAAGAAGAGTCCAGTCTCCCACATCGCCTGCTTTTGTGTCCTTCTGTGCGGGATGAGCTTGTATATTGTCCTGCTGGGGTCGTGCAGGACAGGTGCTGGAGTTGCTGCTTCCCACAGCGACCACTGGTTGCTAGAGCAAAGTTTGCAGCAATAACTGCAGCTCACGGTTTTAGCAATATTTTTGAGGAAAACCAAGAATCCCAACAAAAATAAAACACAAACAAAAGTTAACATTGTTTAGATGATTTTTTGACCAGCACATATATTGTCATTTTTGTGATTATCAAAGTCTGAGGTTGTATCAATAGTGAAACAACATTGAAAATGCTCCCTGTTCATGTTTTCACAAATGGATAAAAGTCTCCAACTGTGTTTGAAAAAGAACTGCACTTTTAAATGAGCAAAGTCGTTTGGATGCAAAGTGTGGTGGGCTATAATTTTGTAAGTGCCATACTTTCAAACACTGAATGAAAACAATTCAGTGTGGGACGTAGATTATCACAAAGATAAAAGTAATAAAATATGTAGAAACAAAAACAAGAATAATATGTGCAAGACTGTAACATAAATACTATGTTAGGAAGAAAAAAGTCAGAGGTCAGCAATTAAAGAATTCTGAAAGAAAGTCACAAATCTGATGAAAAGGTCTTTTAAAAAAGCTTAAAATTAAAATAAGTTTTTTGTAATCCTCTTCCATATAAACCTGTTCAATTTTAATAAGTCTAAAAACATTCAATTGTTAATAGAAAAAACAAATGCAGTCTACATTAACCGAAAAACATTAAATTGACCATTTAGTTTAACATTAGTAAAAAGCTATGAAACACACGCTAATTCCATTAGTGGCTAATGGTTACTCACTAATGTTCGCACTTTTTCCTGGATGAAAATATTTTAGATTTTCATCTGAAGACAGTCTAAACTGTTAAAGCTGCTAAATGACCCTTTTGGTTCAGGGTGTTGCCCTGCGATAGACTGGCGATCTGTCCAGGTTGGACCCCGCCTCTCGCCCGAAAAGATAGCCACCAGCACCTTTCCCAAACCCACCAGGGACAAGGTTTCTAAAAACTGAAATACCTGAGTCATAGCGAAGTTAGTGATTAATGACTATTTAGTTGCAGTATTCTTACAATATTTAATCAACCTATATATCTTAGACTTTAATACAGATGTAATGCAATCCAGAGGTGCTAAAAACAGAAATAGCTTCTTTGTTAAGTCAAAATAGGCATTGGGGCAGATGCTAATTTTAGCACTTCCCATTTATTGTTCTTGCATTGTTTGATCAGTCAACTTTTTTAAATTTTGAACTAAAGATGATAAAATGCAAAACTGAAGTAACTAACATTTTGCTTCAACTGGAAACAGTGAAATGGGAGCTAATGTTGGCGTCATCAGGAACTGATGGTTGGCGTCATCAGGAACTGATGGTTAGCCAGTTATGTTCTCACAGTGCTTGCAAACCATTTCTACTTTGTCTTCTTTTACCTACCTAATTCTCAAAATAATTCAGATGTATTATTTAAAAGTAGTGGAGGCTTTTTCATCACCTTTCTAGGAGTTTTGAAAGCCAGTTCAATAAGGAGCCTTCATCTGAGTTCATCAGAGAGAACCTCAATAACTACGTTCAATCTTACTTCAAAATGAGTCTCAAAAATGACACAACAAGGTGTCCAGGTCTAAGCACTGTTGTTATACACATTGCAAGTTTAAAGTTGTGCTTGTAGCAACTGGACAGCTCTTTGTGAAACAGATTTCACTTTGACAAGGAATACCTTTGCAGTTTTAATATTGCAAGACTCAGTCAAGACAACACAGATGCAACAATTGATTTTTTTACTGTTTTGCTGGAAACTTTTCTAAAAGCATTACACCCGCCTTACCAAATTATCTCTGTATTGAAACTCTCCTTCGATTTCCAGCTGCTGACTGGAATGTATTGGTTTTTGCATCATTCCCGGCGGGGGGAAAAGGGCTTGCCTCAACTCTGTAAGCGACTGTGATGTAAATAGTGCGGCCTCCAGCTTCCCTTTCAGTCCCATCGCACACCCTCAAGACTTGCTCTCACTGGATGGCCATTTTGAACCCTCGCCTCAATGGCTGTTGTCCCTGGACAAAAGAACTTGTATAAATGGCTACTAAAGCTTTTTAATGCAGAGCGTTAAGGAACTCACAACATTCTTTCACATCATTACTCGAGGTGGGGATTGGGGGGGAGGTGGAGGTTAGGAGGTGAGGGGCTGTGGAGAAGGACCGTCTTCTTTCGTTGACCTGCTAACTCTTGAGCTGCATCTTGATCACTTCTTCACTTTTATTCCTTTTTTTGTTGTTGTGAATGCACAGATCAGAGTTGGGTTCCAAATGAGAGTCTTGGTTTCTTTATAAGGAATCTTATTCCACCTATTCCTGCCCCTCTCCCCCACTCTTCCTCGACACACAAACACATCCCTCTCGTTCTGCCTCCTCCCTCCTCTCTCTTCCCCCCTAGCCTTTTCAGCTCTGGGCTGTGAATGAGTCCCAGGAGTCTCTGTGCCTCCCTGGAGTTCTGCTGAGGTTCATTAATCTTTCATTGGGACCACGGCAATAGGGAACAGCAACCACTGCCCCCTCTCTCTTTCCTGCTCCCCCCCCTATCATTGCCACTGTGGAAAGAAAGCTCTATATGGGGATACTTGTTCTCGTCTGACTGAACTACCAGGACAGAATTAGGAGTTTGGGTTTTGGATGGACTGTTGCTGTATTAGCGATGACTCCCTCCTCAAACTGCCTGGGTACATGATTAGTTTTGCGGCATTAAGCTCCGCACACATTTTTTGTCCTGTCCTCGGCCTGCGAGCTCTTGCATTTGTATTGTCGACGAGCGGCAGGGCAACCGCACATCTTAAGCGTGTAGCCCCCCCGCCGGCATCTAGACCCATTAATGTTTTTCAAAGTCTGGTGGAAATGTGCCACAGTGGAGCCTTCTTTCTCTCTTGCACGGTTTAAAGTCACTAATGAGGGTGTGTGGCCTGCGAGAGAAGAGACCGAACACACACACACACACACACACACACACACACTCAGAAGCTGCTTGGTGTCTCACTCCTCTCGCCCCTCCTGAACATATCATCCATGTTATGATAAGCCTGATTAGTGCTGCTTCTTTGGCTGCTGAGGGCAGGGTAAGGATGTGCGGGTAAAGAGGCGAGAGCTGCCTAATCTTGCGCCGTGGTTCTAATCTGGTTATCTCATGTTCAGGGGGACTGTGCATGTCAGTCCCCGTCCCGTCCTGTCGCTGCCCGACAGAGAGGGGCCGAGCTGCTGTTAACACCAGGCCCCTAAAGCTCCACTGTAATCTATGGATAATTGAAAAAAGGGGGTCTGCTCCACTTAGAAGCACAAAGAGAAGATTACATAGCTAAAACTAATTTGGCAAAAAAAAAAAAATCAGAAATGGATTTTCAGCCCCACCTCCCTTCTATTTACCCCCCACCCTTATTACACTACTAACTGCACTCTCCCTAACCGAGGCCCTCAGGGAGTAAATAAAGTAGGGGGGGTTATATTTTGGAGCTGGACTGTAGCTGCTAATGGCTGCAGATTTACTCCCGCTGCCTTGATTTTGTGGTTTACAGATGATCGATTACTTTGCTGCGGCGGTGGTTTAAACGTGTTTCATCCAATATGACGCCCAAATAGGAACTGGCAAGCCCACAAACCTCTTAGATTGTGTTACCGAATTCCTGGGTTGATGCCGCAGAAGTGTTTTTAATTACAAACCATGCTATTTTTGCTGTGGTTTGGCGGTTTTGGCACCTTGAGAATAACCAGAATTTGATCCGTTTTTTTTTTTTTTTTTTTTTTTCCCGTCCTTCTTTCAGACCGAGCTGCAACTCTTTAGCTGTTGCCCTGAGTTTTACACCTAAATATTGACACTCCTTTCTCTTCTCTTTTCTCTCTCTCTTCTTTCTTTTTGTGTTCCTGCACATCCTTCTTTCTGTCAGTCTAATAAGGTTCCAGTGGTACAGCACCCGCACCATGTGCACCCCCTCACGCCTCTGATCACCTACAGCAATGAGCACTTCACACCGGGGAACCCCCCACCTCACCTACAGACAGACGTGGATCCCAAAACAGGTAAGCCCCCAACTGGCATTTCTTTCACTCTATAAATATTTATGTAGGGGCAAAAATGCAGAATCTGAAGTACATTTTTTGCAAAAATATTCACACCTCTTGATGTTTTTGTCATATTTGACCACAAATTATGTATTTAAATGATTTTGAAGTTGGGAAAAAAAACCACGACAAGTCATTTTCAAATTGTTCTTCAAGTACGAATCTGAAAAGTGCAGCAAACCTGAATAAAATTCAGTATAAATGCAGTTGTTCCAATAAGAGTTCACATAATTCAGAAAAACATCCTTTGGTAGCTCTGGAGGAGCTGCAGGAAACTACAGCTTTGGTGGGAGAATCTGTCAATGGGACACTAAACATAATATTCTTTTGGTCCGCCTGCCGAAAGGTTTGGATCGTCACATTTTTTCAGTATTGTTATTGCCTAGTCAAAGTACAGATCTAGATCCAAAGCACAGGCTGACTATTTTGTGAATTTGGTGTCTTCTGATTTGATTTGATTTAATTCATAGTTATAAGAACAAACTGGATGGAATATAAATTTCTGCCACTTCTCAGATATTTACCTCAGAAAAATATTGGAAACATATTTTCACTTCAGCTTCACTGTTACGCACCACATGTGTTCCTCTGAAGTAATAAACACGAAAAACATTCAAGGTAGATGAATACATTTGTGAAAGTGCATGTGTTGTGTTTTCTGCTCAAAACTCTACTAAAATTTAGCGCAACGTGTTTGAAGTGTCTCCAGTAGAGAGTTAAATACACAGCATCTTCGAGAATGCTGCAGAAATCAGCGTTTAAACATTGAGAACATTTCAGGTTCTTCTTCGTTCGGCTTCGTCTGTTTCTGACTGAGCTTCAGCGCTCGGTTTCTTCTCTTACTCGGGGACAACGACCTGGGCTGTGGCTCGTAAAATGCCTCATAAATTAGGGAATTCGGCAAACAGCCTCAAACTCGCATGACCACAAATCCGATTGCTCAACGAGAGGCGGCCTCGGTAGCTTGAGTTCAGATAAAAACGGAGACCTGCGATCTTCAAAGATTGCGCTCTTTCCGCCTTTTCCTCAAGCTTTCATTGATATAATACGAGCCTGTCGGACTTTTCTTTTTTTTATTATTGCTTTACAGCCTGTTGATTCTGCAGGTCAGGTGCTGAATTCAACATTTTTCTTTGCACCACTGTAGCGTCTCCCACAAACATTCAGAGCACATTTTTTAGGTAATTTCATTCATTTTCCGAGAGCATCTTGACCCAGCACTTAATTCTGTTAACTATCATTCAGCCCATTCTTCTTGGTTAATGTGCTTTTCAATGTGGTGAATAATTTTGTGCTTTTTCTGTGGTCTCTGGCGGATTGGGGCCATGTTTTAGGTAATAATGTTCCCTTATTATGATTGCCCCTTACAAAGGAGAAATAATGTGCCAGCTGCTGTTTAATGTAGTGGTTAATGGGTCAGCTTAATTGGCCACAGTGTTTAATTAATTAATGAGTTATATTGCTTGACGATGGGATAATGCTCTCCGGTGTTTCCACTCAATGGGACTTGTCTGTGCTGAATTCCTGGAAAGATTTAGTCTCCCAGCCACATGCAAACTCATCACATTGTGCATCAGTAACAAAAGTACAAAGTTTAAACAGAAACCCGCACCTAATCTGCAATCACCTTGAATTCCTAAAGCAGCACCAGCTGTGTAGAAATATCATACCGTCAGCTGCATAAATTTTCCAGATTCTGATTTGCGCTTTTGCTGAACCCCAGTGTTCTTCGATTGAAGTTTCTGCTAAGAGAGAGGAAGTTATTTTTACGCTCGGCTGTGCTCGGGACCTTTTCTCTTTTTCTTATTATTATTTTGTTCGTTCAGGGCAGCTTGTCGATGCCTTTTCTTCCCCTGTCAGCTGCCACAGAAAAGTAAAAGGATGTTGAGATTGTTTTGGCGAGCCGTCCCGATAAAAATAAAAAAATTGGACATCTTTGCCGATGTTTGTCAGCGGGGAGGATGGCAAACAAAAATCAGCTGTTTTTTGGGGGCATATCTCAGAGATCTTGACGAAGGTAGCGATAGTGACATAGGTAGCATCTAATCTAAAGTCTGTTGTTGATGTCTGCTGTTACGTTTCTGATGTATGCATCAGGTAGCAATCCATAAAGTTAGCTGGCTTTACTGTTATTGGCAGCTCTCTGATCACAGAGACAGCTTTTTAATTCCCTCTCTTTGTTTTGTTAACTTCTAAACCTCCGTCATTTTATATCATTAATCTCCTGCTTTGCCAGACAAAATGTGACAAGAACCTCGTCAGTGTTTTCTCCTCACTTCTCTACACCCTTGCCTCCTCCAACACATTGTGCCGCCTCCCTCAAAGGCCTTTGATCAGCAAGTGTGATTTTTAGCGTTGTGTACACACGAGCAACAAGCCCCCTTCCTCCCTGTCTCTACCTCCCTCCTCGTCTTCCTCCCATCTTGCTCTGCTGTGATGTGAAACTCAACAAAGACTGAATTTGATCACTGACAAAGATTTGGTTCTGTCTCCTTGTCCTCTTCTTGTCTGTCCACCTCCTCTCCCCTCCCTGTCGTCTTCTCTTCCTTCCACAGGAATCCCGAGGCCTCCTCATCCTCCAGACATATCTCCTTATTACCCGTTGTCACCTGGCACCGTTGGCCAGATCCCCCATCCGCTAGGATGGTTAGTACCACAGTAAGCAACTATTTTTATTATTACTCTTTCTTCTGTCTTTCGTTTGAGTTTTGTGGAAGTCTAGATTTAAATTTGATGGCACCCCCAAATAAAATGTATTAATCTAGCATGATGTCACTCTACCTTTAGTTTGAGTACTTTTAATTCCATGTTTGGAAATCATTGTTTTCACTTTTGTGTCCTATGTGCTTTGTTCTACTGTCTTATCTCTAGTTTCCTCTACATTTTAGTTCTTTAGGGTTGATTTTCGTGCTTGCAAACCATTTTTGTCCTAATTAGCCATTGCATGTTTGATAGTTATCCAGGTGAAAGACCTGGTTGTGATCCATTTACAGCATTCTTGCAGAGCACAACAGATTTCTAGTTGAAATGCAAGGTTTTCAGAAAACTTGCTGAATCCGGTGGGTAGGTGCTAGGGCAGTCATTCATCCAGTGGCTGTCGTGTTTTTGAGTTAAAAATTGGTTAAAGTTGACAGAAAATATCACTTTGTTGAAAGATTAATACTTGAATACCAACTATAGAGTCTTCAAAATGCAAACATTTTAAAAAGACTTTAAAAAAATAAGCAATGCTTAGCCTGGTGGGGGCACAAATAAAGCCTGGTTACCCGCCAGGCTTATAATGCACTGGGGAAAACCCTGAAATGAATAAGTGCAAATTTATTGCAAATTTATATTATCTTGTACATTTTTGGCACAATACAGTTCTACAATTACATTCATAATGGTCTTTAGAAGTCTTACATTTGGAAAAACCTGGACCTTTACTGTAAAGTAAGGGAGTAATAGCACATTTGTAATTATAGCGAAAAAGTTTGGCTCCTTCCCAGTGTTAATGTGCAGAACTAAATTAAAGAACTCAGTGTTCTACAGCTTGACTTTAAAAGCTGCACTAAAATGAAACCACAGTTTGAGGACTTCCTCTACTGTAGTCTGCTTGAGAACGTTGTGGTTTGTAATTCAGCTATTGTGGCAATGAAAGACCAAAACAAAGTTTGTCAGCTGTTTTATTTGTAAGCTCAGACAAGTAGCTATTCTTTACACATCTGCTTCACTTGTGTTATATGTTTCCTTGCCTTTCCCATTTTGAGAAGTAATATATTTCAACCCCAGGGAAGGAGAAAGTCTAGAACATATGATCAATTAAAAAAAATCTCAGCAACATTGGGTGACAAATTGGGGGTCCTAACAAAGTGGCTATTGTATTAAAAATTATTTTAAATATTGGATATTTAACCCACTCAAAAGATCCATTATCCAGTTATTTTAAAGCTTTTTACATATCATTATTTGGGGGACAGCTTGTTTTTCCCATCTGGCTTATGAGTTAACGGTGCAGTACGCTGAAGACAATTAAATCCCTTATGATCATTACTGAAAGTGGTTTTCCTCTTTGAAACCCAGAGTTGATTTTCTAACGCAATCTCTCCTGGACCTGCTTCCTTAGACTCTCACCAAGCTCAACTTTCCATTTTTCCGTCAAATCCTATTTTGCATGTCTGCGTTTTCTCCAATTAGAGCAATGAGCTGTGATTGCCTGTGTTTTACCCACAATTCCTCACAGAGGCTCTCCCCTGGTAACTCTTGTCAACACTTGTTAATATGACAAAAGGCTACAAATTAAGCTCTGTTAATTTAATGTTTTCTCACCGCGATCTAAATACCGAGAGAAGCCCTGAGCGCAGTCGTGGCGCCCTTTGATTCGCTGCACTTTATTTTGGTATAAATTTACATTCATTATTGTTTGTCTTTGGATGTGTAGACCTCAATTAGCGTGATGGCTCCATTAAAGGGACCCGCGCTTCGTCTTTAATTATCACAACAAAACACCTAGTTCCAGCTTGGGGAGGAACGGGGCCCCACTCTGTCGACTCCGAGCAAAGGGTTATGAAATTTAATTAGCCACTGCTATCAAGATTTGTGGCATTCAAATTGTTCGGAGTTTTCCCTCGCTTTGATCTGCGCTCTGCAATCCCCTCGATTTTTGTCCTGATCAAATGAGAATAAAGAGGCCCGCGGTGGGGCTTTGGCGTCCCCTCTTCCATCAACCTTATTCCTTTACCTTATCCGCTTTCTTCTTCTCTTTCCCTCTTTCCAGGCAAGGTCAACCTGTTTATCCAATCACGACAGGGGGGTTCAGACACCCCTACCCAACTGCGCTCACTGTCAACGCATCCATGTCAAGGTGAGTTAAACCGAAAGTGCACAAACACCTTCACACTCACTTCCTCCTCACTCATCTGTCTGCATCTTCTCTGCGAACATTTTCCAGAAACGTCTCCCTTAAGGAGACGCTCACACTCAACATCAGCGTGTTCAAAAGGCCAATTCTCCAGTGTAGGAAAGCGGCTCCAGCTTGCATGCTCAAATATTAATTATATTTATCATTTCCTAATGAGGCCCCTGAAGAACGTTTACCCCCGCCGCATGTCAGGCAGAGCAGAAATGAAACGGAGGGGGCATGTCCTTGCTGCGAGTTGAAGCAGCCAAACAGATAAACAAACAGCAGCACTTTGAAGGTGTCACCACAATGTAAAGCTCCGGTCGCCTCCGTCCGGCCCATCAGGGACTAGTTCAAGTGCCGCTGTGGACATCAGGGCTTCCACGAGAGGAGGCGAGAATTGTGTGTGTGTGTGTGTATTTGTCATCTTGAACACATGTGCTGGTGTTTTTACTGAGGAATGCGTTTCCTCTACGTTGGGTTGGATTCTTCTGGCTCCTCTGGTCGCTGCTCATCTGAAGCCGAGCTTGAGTTTAATTACAGCCTGATTGGAAAAGCAGCTCCTGAGGGCGGCTTGTTTAGTCCTCTGTGACAGTGATGGATCATGTATGCAAAAAGCCAGCAGCTGAGAAAGCATGGTCTCTTTTAGGTATGGGGCAGAGACCATGTGCAGAGTTTTATTTGCAAAGCTGCAGCTTGAAAAATCACAAAAATGATGAGTAAAACCATTCCTACTTTTTACTGAGATGCTAGTGAAAGTGCCACAGTAACAGCGTCACCCCACTCCTCCTCCACCTGTTGCTGTACACTGCATCTGGCTTTTTACTCACTTATAAAGTACACAAAAATGTCTTTATTTTTTCGTATAATTCAAAGTAAAACCAGCTTGTTGCCAAACACAGAGGAAGCTTCTGTACTTTTCTCTCACTCACAAAACAGACAAATCAATGTAGAGCTGCCCGTCTACCATCTCTTGCTGTGCACTGCGTGTCAGCTGACTGTAAGAATTCAACCAATTATTCAAATTTATTAAATCCGGTTCAATTAAAAATTATTGTATTTATTTTAAACGTGGTGGTAAATTAAACCATCAAAGAGTCATTGAGCAGGAAGAATCTCCAGTAGCAGTCAGTCTTGCAACAAATTTGAAGAGGCCTCTGACTGACAACCTCCTGACATTTATGAAATGCTAACAGCTCGATTGTCTGGGCAGCAGAGATATTTCAAAGTAGTATTGTTAGCAGGCACTGCTAATCCACCTCATTTGCTTTTGCCACTCCTCTTTAAATCTGTCTGGACATATGCTGAGGAAGCCAACAGTCCACTGATTTCCCTCTTAGTCATCTTTGCCCAGCAAGTTTCAGGTGCAGACAGACCGTTAGATGGCAAGCCTGGTCGGACGTTGGCATCAGCCAACCTGAGCTTTAAGCGACTGCTAATTTGCTCCTCCAATGCAATCATCTTATTTCCAGTGCAGCTAATTGAATATACTGACTGGGGTGTAGGAAAGCGGGAGGGGGCCTGGCCATGGGGGAAGAGCTAATGCCCCTGTGATGAGGCCCCTAATTGAATTAGTATAACTGAATAGATGGAGAGCTCTGGGAGTTCTCTGCAGAAGGAGGGGAGGGGTTTAAAACCCATCGCCCCACCCTTCCAAAAACGAAAAAAAAAAAACTCCTCACCAGAGAGCAAAACATCCAAAACAATCGGCTTAATTGTATCAAACCTTCTTTCATACGTAGCCTTCAGCTAGTTGGTTTTGTTCAAAGCAAAGCAAAACGGTCAGCGTGTTGAGGCAGCTCAGTCTGCAGCGAGCGCAGACTGAGCTGACTGGAAGCAGAGAGAAGATGAGCCAAAGCCCAGCTCTTTACAAGAACTTCAAAATGATTGAAGTTTTTAAGGTTTGTTTTGAGGAAAGTGCGTGATTTCTGTATAAAGTTCTTGAAAGAACTTGATATACAAACTGCACAATTTTATAATAAAACACACTCTTAAAATTTGATTAAAAGCCTAAATTTGGTTATTTACAGATGAAACCAGATATCAAAAGATAATAAAAAGCCTACAGTTTTCTTTCTTGTTGTCTGACGTTAAATCAGACCAAACTTCTCTCATTTTAGAAAAGTTAGTCACCAAAATTTATCGCCTATCAAAAGTTGTTATTGTAACAGGCCTACTTACCTTAAAAATACTTTGAGAGTGCTTGAATTTTACTGTGGGAAATGGATATGAACTCTGTTAGTTCAGTCAGGAGTTGGGTGGAATTAGGACAGAGGGAACGGCGCTGATAAGTCGTCCTGTAAAACGATCCAGTCTGGTATGAAAGGAATCACAGATGTAGAGAGGAGCAAATCCGATGCATTATTTTGATAATGGGGTTGCAGGCAAAGCATGTTCCCCCTCATTGTGTTGGTGTGTGTGTGTTGGATGTATGTGGGACAGGTGGGTGGATGTGAAGACCATTTCGTCCCTTGTGATCAAGCCTGGCCCTTTGATATGTCCTCCTGTCATGCCGCTTCCTTCCTCTCTTTCCCGCGGAACGGCCACATCATTATACATTAAACAAGCGCAGGGGGCTACCGGCAATTAAGCTAACGCTCGGCCTCAGTGCGCCAGTGACCCAATCCCACATTTACCCCGCCTCCCCCCTTCTCCCGACAGCCATTCTTACCTTTTCAGATTGAGACGTAGAAGCCCCAGGGTTGCTGGGTAGGTGGGGGTCTCCACTGCCTCTATATGTTGCTTAAATTGGTCCAGGCTGCAGCTCGCTGCTGATGAGCCTCGATGATGATGACGACGACGGTGATAATGCCCCGGACGCTTCAAAGGGATGGCCGTCATGTTTAAACCATAACCTGGGCCACGCGGTGGCTGCGGGGTTAAGGGGAGAAGGGTGGAGGCAGCAAGGGGACAAGGAGGAGTGGAGAAGAAGAACAGAGAAAATTTTAACAAGTGCACAGAGAGCGAAGGAGGGAGAGAAAGGAAAACGGAGGGAGCGGAGCAAACGCGGGCCCTAATGATGGGCGCTATGCAGCCGCCACCGCCGCCGCTCTCCCCATCAGCCGATGACACGGCACAAACACCAGCGTGTCAGGGATGAAGGGAGGAGAGGGGGGAAAGGAGAAATGGAGGAAAAGAGTTTGATGGGAGGAGGAGGTGGGGTAGTAGCTGTGGTACTCCCCTGAGATGGCCTCCAACAGAAACTAGTTGTTCCTGGTGAGTTTATCCTCATCATTATATTCTGGCTCGGAGCCATGCAGCCAGACACAGTCGGATAATGAGCTGCTTTAACAAAAAAATAAAAGAGCTACTCCTTCGTTTTTTCCTTTATCCTTCTCTTAAATTTGTTTGGTCACGTGGAGGCCTTTAAACGTACACATGCAGATATAAATATATATAAACATACACACATGCTCAGATAATTAGCTCCACACACTCTCTGTGTGGCTGAATCTGGGCTGTTAAATCGTTTCTTAAATAAGACTTTCTGTGTGGCGGACCGGTTGGAGATTACAAAACCATGATGGGAGAGTGAGGTAGATAAAGATGGCAGCGGTGCTGAATTTGCAGAAAGCAGATGGAGACCCAAAAATCTGGAGCGATAACTAGAGCGTTTCTCCTACTCTGCAGGATTGGCTCGACAAGAGATAATGGCTAGAGATTTGCCATCCAAAATTTAGGCTTTTCTTTTTCAGCGCAGAGATTTTTGTGCTTCTCTGATATTCCTACATTTTGTCGTGTTTCAAACACAAACTTCATGTCATTTCAACAATCACAAACTGCAGTGCGGTCATTGGGATTTTATTGGATGGACCAACACAAAGCAGTGCGTAATCTGAAAAGTGTGGCACAGCATGACGTGGCTATCGCTGTGCTTTATGGTGGCAATGGAGTCTTTTTTTACTTCTTTAACATTTACATGAGACTTCATTAGACCTCTGGTTATTTGTAATAAAGTTTGAGTTGTCCCGCCTGAGCTCTGGGTCTCCATCACTTTCATTTGCAAAAACATGTGTCATTTTACTTCCCCTTCATAAATATGCACTATTTTTGTGTTGCTCAGTCATATAAAAACCTAACAATATACATACATACATAAATGTTTTTATTATTACATTTTATTTAATTTTTTAAATGTCACTGTGTCTTTGTTGTCCTCTGTTCCATTTTAATGACAATAACTAAACGCTGTGTAATCTTAAGATAAAAACCAGTTCAATTTTAGCTCCATCTGCATTGTGTTTGTGCTCCATCTTCTCATTTCATCCATGTCCATTCTGACGATTTACACAGTCTTCTGTCCTCCAGATTCCCCCCACACATGGTGCCCCCCCACCACAGTTTGCACACCACGGGCATCCCTCACCCGGCCATCGTCACGCCCAACGTCAAGCAGGAATCCTCCCACAGCGACATCAGCTCACTCAACAGCTCGTGAGTAGCCCGCCCCGCATCCCCCGACTTTTCCCTGCGTGGCGACGCTCAGCCTCGGCCCGTCTCACTCCTCTTCTGTCCTCGCTTTTTAGGAAACAGTCGGACGCTAAAAAGGAGGAGGAGAAGAAGAAGCAGGTCCACATAAAGAAGCCTCTGAACGCCTTCATGCTCTACATGAAGGAGATGAGGGCCAAGGTGGTGGCGGAGTGCACACTGAAAGAAAGCGCTGCTATCAACCAGATCCTGGGGCGAAGGGTAAGTCTCGAAAACGTTCCAATCTGGGGAATATGGGAAAAAAATATGACTCAGTCGTGCCTGAATCTTGAAGTGCTGACAATTATAAAAAGTCCTGACGTGTTTGTTGATGCGCAGTGGCACGCCCTATCGCGGGAGGAGCAGGCCAAGTACTACGAGCTGGCCAGGAAAGAGCGACAGCTCCACATGCAGCTGTACCCTGGCTGGTCAGCACGAGACAACTATGTAAGTTTTTAGGTTTACAAGTCGTAACGGCCTCTTCTTTCTCCCCTTTGATTTGTTTTGGTTTCACAGGAACAGTGTTTCTTTGCTTTTCCTCTTACAACTCAGATTCTTCTTCTGTGTTTCTAAAATGTGACAGACCTATTAAAGTGCAGCCTCGTGTTGCATGGTGGAGTTTAATCAGCAGCTTTGTGACAAATGTGAAAAATATTTAGTGGGGTTTTCATGTTGGTGAATCTTTGGGCCTGTTCTTAAGAACACCAGAGTTCTGACACAACCTGGAAAAAAATGGATTTAAGGATTTCCAAAGTATGGATAAGAAAGAATTAGCATAAAAAATCTATTTCCATCCGTTTATATGGTATCTGTTTATCCATCTTTCCGTTTGTTCATTCATTCATTCATGGATTCTTTATTAGAGTCCTAGACCTCGTCCACATGTATCCGTGTTTTTATACAAATATCTCTGCCATATCGTTTAAAAAAATAATATTGTACACAAAGGATAAGTTTCAGAAACGTGTCCATCCACAAGAACCCAACAAATTCATTCCAGAGGACAGTTTTAAACATGCCAAACCCACAGGGGGCAGCGTAGCGCCAAGCTAAGACTTGTCAGCCAATCACATTGCTTCAAAACAACCATAACTTCCTGTTCATTTGGGTGCAAATATATGTAGGTTGAATTACTTTTAAATGGATTATTAGACTGAATAGTTAACATAACAGTGTCGACTTTGAATATCAGTTGGGAATCATGTCAAATCAAGTATGTAAATAAATTATGTGCTGCAGACCTTAATGCGCTGGACCATACGTCTCCGTTTTCACATGCAAACAAAATATAAAGATTTCTCAGATCTCCACTTTGGTGAGAATTTTTATAAGTAGCCATTTGTAGTGAAATAAACAGGTTTTATGTGGATAAAAATATATTTGTTTTCCCAGATATCCAGGCACTTGTGACCTGGGCCTTAAATTTATGGCTCTATCTACAGCAACTCATCAAAAAGCTCCTGTTTTATACTTTGAAATGTGGAGATAAATAATGCAAATTGCTATAAAATGCAATATATTAAATTTTTTTAGCCTCTACACCTTTTATTGTGTTGTTGTCTGTAAAGTGAATTCTTATACCAACAACTCATCCATGTTTTGAGATTCAGTAACATAAATGTCTTGTTTGTTGCTTTCTGTGCTAAAACTACAACACTGGAGCTTTGTGTAACTCCCTCCACTTGTCCCTACACCTCAGTTCGTGAGAAACAAGACATTATGGTTTCCAGTCGGCTCTCACACCATCTCTGGGATGTACTTCCTGTCTATTTTTATGTTGTTAAGGTGGATCTTATCGCCACCTACTGGTGTGGCATGCACACTGATCAGAGTGTGCATGTACTATCACTGAAGCGTCTTAGGAAAGTTGGGACTCAAATGCATCAAAGCGTCTTTTTGAGTTTAGACTCATGACTTGTTATTTGCAGTTGGATAATTTCATTTATCAACAAAATAAATATATATTTTCTGGTCACAGTATGCAATTAACAAAACAGTGTGTGTTTGGATGAGCTTGACTATGGTGGATATTTTGCAGCCTGCACATTTTGTTCTGACACATAAGTGCCAGATTATTCAGTTTCTGCGTGCTGCTGACCAGAGCAATCTCCTTTCAGCAGCTGTAGAGAAATCTGTCTGGCTAAGCAGAAGCGTGTCAAAATGTCTAGCTTTTAACAGAAGAAAATATGAGGGAGGGGGGACAAGATTACAAGAAGAAAAGAGGAGAAACAGACAGCAAACAGGGAGAGGGGGAGATTTTTGTCTGGCCTGCAGTGGCTGTTACAAACCGGAGGGCAAAAACACAGCAGAGAGACCAAGAAAGGGGAATAAACAGCAGAGAAATAGTGAATGAATAAATAAGTAAACACAAAGATGAGTCCTATTCTCTGTTTCATGTTTTGGGCATTCTGCTATATAATAACTAAGGTTCCTGTCGGTGTCTATCTCTTTTTTCTTTCTATTTTTTTGGCGGCTAACCAACAGGGGAAAAGGAAGAAGAGAAAAAGGGAAAAGCAGCAAGCAGAGAGCAATGGTAAGTGAGCTGCAATTATCTCTTATATTAGAAGAACCCCATCATGTGTCAGGCAGATGTGACATCTTGCAAGATAAAAGTCAAGCTTGTTTTTTTTTTTCCTGTTATGTTTTTTTTTTTTTTTATTGTGCCTGCCTTTTTTTCTTTTTTCTTGGTATAGTTATGCTACCCAGTGCAATGTTTAAATGGTAGAGTTGCTTGTAAACCCCTCCCTCCTCTTTTTCCCCCATTTTCCCCAGCTCTCCCTAGCTAATAACAACTGAATATGCATGACCCCCTGTAGTCCCCCACCACACCCCCCTCACTCACCCAGCTTGGGCTCTTAGCCCCCTGGTATTTTGATATGTGTTTTTTAAGAACTTGAAGCATTTTGAAAGCCATTAACTTTGGCAGAGTTGTGTGCTTGGCCTTGTTTTTATAATTTTATATTGCCTTTGCCCTGCAGATCGACTGCACTACTGTGCCTTGTTGTCTGAGTGTGTGTGCGCGCGTGTGTCCCAGAACCGTGCATGCGTGTGTGCTTTATGCATGTGTGCTTTATGCTCGCTTCCATGCATGCTCTTCTTTTAAATAAAAACGAATCACTTACATCTTAAAATTAAGGAGGTTTGCTAATTCTGTGATTTATTTATTTAATTTTTTTTAAATCCATCTCTACTCTTCTGATTCATATTGTGAGGACGCTGTGTCGACTTGTTATCAATGTATTTTGCGCTCGTTTTGGTGACGGATTTCTTCTTGAAGGCCTCTCTATCTGTTCTTTTTTTTTTCAGAACACAGAGAATATTTTCCAAACCCTTGCCTTTCACTCCCTCCGATTACAGGTGCTAATGTCATTTTAAGTATCAAATTACTAACTGTTTCTTTGATTATTTTCCTTTTTAAATCAATGTATGTGTATGGGACAGGTTTTACCTTCAATTCTTTATTCTGAAATATGCTTTTTTTATCTATTTTTTATTTTTTTTGCTTTGTTTGCTGCTTTCTTTTCCTAAAATGTCGATGTTCTTTAAGCTAGGCTGTATCTACATATGTTTCTATGTTTTGGCTAAATCACAATGCAATGTACTTGAGGAAGTAATAGATTATTATTGTGAAGTACTGGGTTGGGACATCAGGGTAAACCTCCTTAATCTATATGCTTTTGGTAGCTGCCTTTTGCCTTTCCAGCAGGCCAGCATGAGTTTGGCCTTCTCCCTGTTTTTGTAAGACATATTGACTCAAACATGGCCTGGAATCAAACAGTGTTGCACTTTTACGACTCATAAAGTTGTAAATAGACACAGACTTATTATAGGCATCAAGTTTTTGAAAAGTGCAGTTTTAAATGCGTGTTAGTTATCCCAAACATTACTTCATGTGTCTAACTCAAGGCGCGTGGGCCAAATCTAGTCCGCCAAAGCTTTTTCTGTGTTTGCTGCCACTCAGTCCCTCCAGTTTCTTGAGAATTATTGTGGAAATTCATGCAAAATCAACAAATCCCTGCACTTTTTTTGCACTAATAATTGGGATGTTATTGCAGATTTTTCTCAAAAATTGTCAAAAACTTTCTTATTTGTACTGAACAACTGCCTCAGTCTTACTTGATGTCAAATCATAGACCATAATCTATACAACAAGTAATAAAAAGTCAATTCCACCATCATAAATAAGCGCAAGTAGCGTAAATATTTCCAAGTTAGTACCACAAACACAAAATCTTGGTCGGACTGAAAAGAAATCTGTCCAGGAAAACAGAGTCATCCAAAAACTCAAGCGCATTCTCTCATTTGAACAAGAAACTGCCTTTTTTTAAAATAAATACTTAAAATTGAACCCCATTTATGTTTTTCCAGCTATTATAAGAAACACAAATTCAGCTGTTTAGAAATATTTCTGGTTGCTGACAACACAGCAGCTTTTAAAACTATTTCTGGCTACTTGTGTAAACAGCTAAGCAAGTTAATCAGCTAATGTCAGCTTGATGTACTAATATTAATATAAGAGCAGAATAACAAAAAGATTTAATATTCCAAAGGTATTTTATTCAATATTTCTGCTTCAGTCTATTCAGGATTATTATAATTGCAGTAACGAATGTATTATGGCAGCAGTAAGAAAGATTTTGGGGTTTTAGATCATTCCATACCTGCTTTGTAAATGGATAGAGGCTTTGTGACTTCAGACGGTCTTTACTTATTTGAAACCGGTCAAACTGTTTGATTCCAGGTGTAAAGGTTAGCTTCCCTCTTGAAGATCCAGCCTTTTGTTAATCCTTTCCCTGGCTGGAACCAAGTCTCACTGCTCCCACTGTCTAGTTTTGCCACCTGCAGATTAAAACTGGTAGCATCTAACAGCAAATTAATCCAACCTGCATTTATTTTTGTTTTTATCCTTTTAATCTATTAAGACCTATCCTAAAATCTGCTTTAACTTCCATCAGAGTTTACATTTTATATGGGATTGTTTTTGTAATATGACTTGATAGCTTGCATGCTTTTGGATTCTACTAATTTCTGGTACAATGTAATTGACTTTATGCATATTTGATAATGACCTTGTGGGGTTTTGGAGCCACTGCTTAGCTTCACAGATTCACTGGTTTTCTGTCTTTTTTTTTTCTCCTTTCTCCTGACTCTTATTTTACTGGTTTCGGTTCTCTTCCTCCTCCTCCTCCTCTGCTGGCTTCCCCTTCCCTGTCGTGGCATCAGACCTGAGCGCTCCTAAGAAGTGTCGAGCACGCTTTGGGCTCGACCAACAGAATAACTGGTGTGGCCCGTGCAGGTGTGTATGGTGTGTGCTTGCACTGGCCAGGGTCAAGGTGAAGGCTGGGGTCGTGTGAACGCTGGGAATGCCTCCTCTTGCTCTCTCGCTGCTCGTTTTATTTCCCTCTGCGCCTTCCTCCCTGTCTGTCCCGCCGGGCTATTGTGACCCACCCAGCTTCCTCCAGCCACACCCTGCCGGTTTCTCTCTGGGTTCTTGCTTCCTGTTTGGGGGAATAAGTGAGTGTTTGTTTGGACGAATGATGTGTATGAATAAATACGCAAGGGGGCGGGGAGATTATTGTAGAATACATTGTAAGCTAAAACCTGGCAGGTTGAGGCTTGGAGGATCTGAAGTCCAATAGTTTGGTCCAAACGGAGGTTATCCTAGTGTTGCCAGCCTAAATCTAAGCCCTGGCTATGTTTTTTTTTGTCTGTGTAATGACATGTACATTTTCTTTTTTTTTTTTTTTTTTTTTTTTTTTTCTTTTTTGTCTGTTTGTGTCTACCTCTTTGGCTAACAGATGCAAATACCCCAAAGAAGTGTCGTGCCTTGTTCGGGCTTGACCAGCTGAGTTTATGGTGCAAACCATGCAGGTATAACTGCTGTAGTCCAACCGAGAGGAAGACGTCCACACTGAGCATCTTCCTTCTTCGTTAATTGGCTCCAATGTCTTCCTAAAACACGTGCTGACAGATGAAAATCTCTTTTTTTCCCTGCTCCTACAAAATTCCTGCTCAGCTACTTTTTTTTATTTATTTTTTTTATTTTTTGTTGAACTCAGTTCAAGCCCAGCGGCAGAAAATGGATTTCACAACCGACTTTATCTGAACGCAGCATGGAGGATTTTTTTTTTTGTGTGTGTAATTTGCAGTAATTCCATAAATTATGGTTGAAATTCATTTTCTGCCCAAGCATTTGATGACACCCTCCCTTCTTAACTGTCGTGTTTGTTCTAATTGGCAATGTAATGCTTACAAATTTAGCCCTGCTTTCCTCTGAGGGCCTGTTCAGTGACACTCTTTTCTGTGCCCTCTTCCTCTTCCTCCTCCTTCTCCACCTCTTCTTCCTCCAAACTCCTCTTCAATAACCCTTACTTAGTCCCTACCTGTTGTCTTTCTGTTCTGACACAAGCAGTCTTTGAATTGGGGATATTTTCATGGTAGGTATTTGTTTCTGCTAAGTAACGACCCTTCTCTGTGTCTCCCCGCTTGTACCACGGTCATCGCAGTGTTTCATCCTCCTTGTTTTCCACATTTGAACGGATGGGCTCGGGATTACAGTCGAGTCCGCAAAACGAAAGCCAAATTGTTTTTGCTCAAATCTAGCCATGAGCTTGTCGCCTTCACGCCAGGATTAAACAGAAATAAAAAATCAATAGTTGATTCTAAATGGTTGACAAAGGCCAGAGCTTGGAGTCCCTCCCTCATCTATTGCTGCACTCTGCTGATCAGCTGGCTAAAATAATCATTTAGGCACGGCGACTATTGATGGCATCAAGATTTTATTTGAAAAGTTACTTTTAAAATCATTAAAATTAACAGTGATGTTGGAACATAACCCAAAACTCTCCATTTCCCACTTGCTGCTGCACACTACTCATCAGCTGGCTGAAAAAAGACCTCTCTGACTTACAAGAAAGGAAAGAAATGTCAGGTTACACAGTATGAATGAAAAAAATATGTGATTATGTTTCTGAATATTTGATGATTGCAAAAATGTCAAATACATATATTTTATATTTCTACGGTTCATACTTTCAAATGAGGTGATATAGAAAGACAATTTCAGATTTCTTCTGCTGTAAGCCAGATAGATTACCACAGATCCCCCCCCCTACCTATTGCTGACAACTGCAGGTTAGTTAGCAGAAAATGCACTCCTCCACTTTATGTATTTTATTTTTGCTTGAAAAAAAGAAAAATGTAGCTTTTTTGATATATTTTCACAGAAAAGCAGCTAATGAACCAGCTGATATAAGCTTATATATTCTTATATTACTCTACGAACTGAACAAAAATTAGCTATTTTTCACTATGAGTAATAAAATATATCACAAATTTTATTATGTTTTATATATATTTTTATATGTAAACATACATATTGTTTGTACATATATTTATGAAAATGATACACATTTTTATAAATGCAAATCACAAAAAAATATGTTGGTGATGTTTTTGAGCAAAGCCATAAAAATTTATATTCATAAAAAAAAAACTGTAAAATTATAATGTAATTGTTGATTTTCTGTTTCAAAATAAATGAGACAGTGCACCCATACCCAAGTTAATCTTAGAAATGTATGTATTTACCCGTCTTTTCATGCATCCCAATCTCCCACCTCCATCATCTCCCCTGGGCCGTTATAATTCCCTTCAATCCGACTTGCAGGTTATCAAGCATCTAGCATTATTGTTGAGAAGCGCAGCAGCAATCGCGAGGTCGAGAGATTGAGGAAGTGCTAGGATCCAGTCAGAGAGGTTAAAAGTTGTCTCTGGGCTCCATTTCCTAAAAGATGCATCTTATGTAATTTCCCGAGAGACAAGAGAATCAATATCATACACAGGCACATACTATAAATCAATATGTCTGTTAAAAAATGGATATTAGCTCATTTGTTGCAGTTTGACAGACAGTTACAGAGAGCGTTGTGTGCACGTAGGAGCAAAACGATACGTGTTTTTGATTCGCGGTCGATGTTTTGCCCCATCTAGAGCTGTGGTTTCAGTGCGGACTGCTCCTAAAAGCCCATCCTCACCATTTACTTGCATGTCTTTCACTCAGCATGTGGTCATGGTTTCGGTGTGTAATCCTTTTTTTTTCTTTTTTTTCCATTCCCAGGGTTTGCTCTCTGCATTCATAAAAGAAAATCTTTCCTTCTCAGAATTAACAGATGTGATTTAAATAAATAAACAGCTGGATTTTAAAACACCTCGGCCTGTTTTCACCTTCTGTATTGTTGCCAGTAAGACTTAAAACGCCCCGTAGCTTCTGGGATAGAGATAAGAGCTGAGGGAGAGGGGTCACTGTCAGGGTCAGCGTAAAGATGAGGTGGGCTGAGATTTCCCCCCCTGAACCAAATCTGAGCGCAGCCTTCAGAAGAGAGCCACCACAGATAAACACAGCAAACCAAACTCTGTCGACTCCCCCTCACTTCGCTGTTTTACACATCGCTTTCCACGAAGCGGTACCGGCGTGGCCTCGGGACTCGGCGTGCGAGGGGGGAGGGTTCCCGACCTCAGGCGGGAATGTAAGCGCAATGCCTTGACCCCTAAGCTCGTATTTGTGTCTGTAGGCCAGATTTAGGGCTGCGAGGATAATGTCGACTTTTTGCGGTTGTTTCTGTTTCCTCCACTTTGGTGAGTGGATCATTTAAGACGAAGATTAGATAAGAGACTAATCCAGGTTCCTGGTTTTACCCTCTGCTGGTAATAAGCAGTATTTTGCTCACCAGAATAACCATAGTTATCAAAATATTATAAAAACATTTTTTAAAGAAACATTACATTTAAAAGATAATCATCACTTATATGCTTTTTATATCCCCACATAACCGCTAATGTACTAACAGCAGAGCTAATTTCCTGTTTAGCGTTGCAGCTCTTTGGCTAACTTTGAAAACTGTTAGCGCTCATCTCGCCTTGATAAATTCTGAAGCACTAATTTATGTGACTGTTTTGCAAGCTTTCAGTTAAATAAAATTCAACATCTGTGTTGAAATTTTGAACTGTTGAGAATTCAAATTGTTACTTTTTCATTTGTGCTTTCATTTTGTTTGGAGACTGTTTACTCAGCAGTTCTGTTTCCTCTCAAACAAGAAACAAACAGGAGCAAATACAAAACACAGACAAGTTGTAAATTATACTGTCAAAATTTAAATTGGTGCTAAATGGTTGTTGTCTTTCAAGGGCAGAGATATTTTTAATTGAAGTTACAGCCTCAGCATTAGCTTCTGCTAAATATGATGTCGGTGTAGTATCTTAGCGTCTGCGGAACTGAAAATGTCCCGACAATGTTTTTCTCCCGCTTCGTTCCTCTGGAGAAAACACAAGGTAAAGCCAGTCGTTCCTCTATGGACAGAAGCATTAGCGTAATTATCTTTTTCGTTAGCGTTACCACCACTGGATTACAGCAAACAGTCCCTATATTTAATTGCCATCCAGCTTCATCCATTGTTTTTTTTTTGACAGTTTGGTTTTAGTCTTAACTCATAAAACATTTTCCTCAAATTAAAAGATCACGTTTGACCTTGTTCTTGTTTATAAGGACACTGCTCTGTAGTTTGGGGATGAGCTGAAATAGAGTTTATGCTAAATTCAGGGAGCAAACCTGGTCACCTTTAATCTTCGTTCATCCTTCCTGTTTGTGTTTTTCACTTCCTTCCTGCTTCCTGCTATGTAATCTTTCCTAAATGTCTGTTTTTGATGGTGTTGTATTTCTACCACCTTTCCTTAGCTTAAAGTGTATGAAGCCACTCAGGTACACCAGAGCATTAGTCGCATTTTACCAAACATGGCTTGGTTAATTCAGTGATGCTGAGGTGTATTTAAGTGAGCTTCAGTGCTGGAGGAACAAAGAGTTCTACGATTCTGAAAGTGTCTTTCTCTCGCCTTGTCCCTCAGGAGAAAAAAAAAGTGCATTCGCTACATCCAAGGTGAAGGCAGCTGTGCCAGTCCTCCCTCTACGGACGGAAGCTTACTAGACTCCCCCCCATCCTCTCCCTCCTCCGTGGTTCCTTCCCCCTCTCCGAAAGAATCCAAACCTCACACTGAACAAATGCAACCTCTCTCACTGACTATGAAACCGGCCCACCAGCCACTCCACCACCCGCACCTCCTGGCTGGGCCCCCACCGCCATCTTTGGTTCAGCTGGAAAATTCGGCGGCCGCCGCCAGCAAGACGCCCAGCGGCGCGTCCTCCCACAACGGCGCTCTGGAGCACAGTGACGTCTCGTCCTCGCGGCAGCCGGGCTCCTCCGTGACGTCCGCCATGATCCGGCCGTCAGCTTCGCTGTGTCATTCCCACTCGCTCCTCCCCTCCACGGCCCCCCAGCCTCTGTCACTAGTGACCAAGTCGATAGAATAATCTACCTTCCTTCTTCTTACACACACTTACTAGGTTTTCTCTTTGCTCTATTTCACTTTCAGTCAATTTACTCTTTATTTCTTTGCCACGAAGGCTTTGAAATTTTTAGTTTTTTTTTGTTTTATTGAAGTTCATTGGTCAATATTTGACCCCTCATTATCAAAAAAAAATCAAATTATTATTAAATACAATGAGCTGTAGTATAGCTTTGTGAATCTGCCAAAATTTTTATGAATTTTGTTTCTTTTGTCTGGATTTTTTTTTTTTTTTTTTTTTTTTGGTTTTGTAGCGATAAAACAGTGCAAACAGAAAGAAAGCTAATCTACTTCACTTTCGAAACGTTTTAAAGACAAATATAAAATAGGTAGGCTAGGTTATTCGACAAGCCCTTTTTCCTGAAAGAGTTGGTTCTTCTTCTTTATTTGTATTAAATACGAGCCTGCGAACCAATCGTTCAACATCTGTTCAAACTCTCAGAGGGGTGCGGGGGCTAGCGGCTACACCTCTCTGGGGAACAATTTTAATTGTGATGTTACTTGTTGTTTAAATGTACAGAATATCGGGGAGGGGAGGGGTGATTTCTGTGTTAAATATGCATTCTTCCACTGCGTTGTCTTTTTTTTCTTTTCTTTTTTTTTCTTGTTTACCTTTTGGGGCGGAGTCAGGCAAGTTTGGGGGGGTTCGACAGGGTTTGACGGGGGGAGGGTGGGGATCGGGTGGGGAGGGTCAAGGGTTATAAAATTCAAAAATGTCACAACGCTAGGACCAGTAGTATTTATTGCTTTAGAGATTGCTTGTTGTATCTTGTTGTGTCTCTTTTTGACCCTATTTTTTTTTGTTTCTTGATACATTGTACAAATGGTTTTTTCTTAAGCTAAACAACTATATGAATGATCCATTTTTACAAGGAGGATTTAAAATGAGAAAAAAAAAATACAAAGCTTTTGTTATGGTTTTTTTTTTCCCCTCGCTGAAAACACCCAGATTTCACTTGTTCTGTGTAGATCTCATAAACAAGAAGTATGCACAACTTCATTTCCAGAACCGCGTCTATATAAGCCATTTTACATGCAAAGGAAGAAAAGAAAACTTGAAATCAGGCAGTGGGTACCGTGTCTTCAGTGGAAAAAGTGTTTTAAAGCCCTTCTTTTTTATTGCACAGTCACATCTCTCAGACTGTAGATTCGTGTACAGACTTTTCCGTGCCAAATTTTTTGTGATAATTTGCCCTCGGCCCCCACCTGTCCCCAGTTTTAAAAGAAAAAGGAAAAAAAAAACACGCTGTAGGAATTTTTTTGTTTTGTTTTGTTTCGTTTCGTCGTTTGTTTTTATTTTAATTTTGATACCATTCTTTGCTGTGACGTTACATAGATTGCTATGTATGTAGTATAAATGTTGCTATAACAAATGTGTTTGGTAGCAAATTGTCAAATATTAAAATTTAAACTTAATAAAAAGACGGACATCATACTGTATAAACCCACGAGGGCCAAAATTATGTATATTAGGAGGTTCATAAAAAACTATTAAATACAAAAAAATACACAAACTGCCACTTTTAAGTACACTACTACATATAGGTAGATAGAAAAAATAGGCATGTTGATGTTGCAAGAGGCTGTAAAAAAAGCTACAAGAGAATCATCCACTCGGTGCCATTGTAGTTGACATGACGCGACTGTAATCTGTCGATTTCTTCTCTGGTTTATTAAGATGCTAATGATAAATAGTTTGAATGTTTCCTTAACGGCTGTGATGTTCCTGTTCTATTTTATGCTCTTATCTTTTTGTTTGTTTGTTTTTTTCCTGTTATTTTAAATGGTTCTAAAACCATGTTTTTGTAATGAATAAATGTTTATGCTGTACAGTCTCTGTAGCATGCAGTTCTGTATTAATAAAAGCAACTTAGTATGTGCACACCTGCGTTTTCTTCTTATTCGTTCCCTCCGTCGTCTTTGACCGGCCATATTGGAGGATTTCCACGCAGTTTAAAGTAATGCAGCTGCATCTCACTTGTAGGGTTTAAATCTTTGCCATTCAGAAATGGATTTGCTGGTGTGCTTAGGATCGTCGTCCTGCTGCATATCCCAAGTGAACTTGAGGTTGAGGGCACGAACTGATGGCTGAACGTCCGGCTTTGGTTTTCCTTTATGACCATATCCAGATTGATAGATGTCAGTGTCTTCTTGAATTTCTTGAGATAAAGGGATGATGTTTAGCTTTTGGAGATCATTTAGCCTACCTCATTTTTTTTCACACGACTCCTTGTTTCTACTTGTCTCCAAGTGGGAAACCAAAGGAAGGGACCCAGCAGTCATGCTGTAGCACATTTCAGTTGCTTGTATCCAGGATGTCGTTCCTTGGGTTCTGATCCACATCTAAGATGAGCTCAATCTCATCCTGGCCACTTCATACTCAGCTGCAGCCACTGGTGGTTATCATCTGGCTCGTGTTATTTATCTAAAGTACTGCACACTTAGAGTGCATTCACACAGCAGCCCTGTTTAAGTTCACTTTAATCAAAGCCCAGTTTGTTTTGTGAGAAAGTCCAATTTGCTTTGGGAGGTGTGAATGTGCAACTTTGATACGAACCAAAAGACTAAACTCTGGGCCGCCTTAAAACCTTGAGTTCTGGTGCTGTTTGCATACATACGTGAATGCTAAGTGTACCAGTGACCGCTCCAAAAGCAGGAAGCAGGCTATAGCGCAGGGCATTCTGGGTAAATGCAACCAAAACAATGCTGTGAGTCTTACACAAGTGGTCAAGTGGATCATGGTCTTTTGCCAAGACAGAAGTGAAATCTGACACCATCCCTTTATGATTGCATTTTATGAGGAAAGAAGTTGTCTTCTTCATATGTCATTTCTCTTTAGTGGTTCCTGGTGTAGCGCCACCACAGGTGAGAAGGTGAACAGGTTCTTCATAAGTTTTGGTTTGTTTGACAACATAATGTGAAAGTGAACCACATCAACTGGAAATGTAACAAACGTCATCATTCTGCACCATGACGGACGATAATGAGGATTAAGTTGTTTTTATATTGGCTCTGGTCGACTTCAAAATCATGAACTGTGCTCCACCGTTAGCATCCATGTTTACTACCTCAAACAACGAGCACTGCTTCCTTACTGTGGTTTGGCAAAACACTGAAACGGCTTCTATATGTGACATTATTGCGCCCTCACTGCGCATGCAGGACACTTTCAGGTTGTTTGCAGTTCACACTGAAGAACACAGAAGTGTTGAACCATCACGGAAAAAAAAAAAATCCAATTTGACAAAACATTGTAATCGTTCAGTGTTAACATAGAATAATCTATTAAGTTGCACAGCTGTGTACATACTCTTCAGGAGAGCGAGAAGTCCTAGTTTTGGCTGAATCATCAGTTTTTTCTGCTATTAAAGTTTTCAAGAAATTAAACTTTTTTTTTTTAACCATCCAAGTAAACAGGACAGAGACAGCTGGGAGTTTATCCAGCAAGACTTCAGCTGAGTGGCAAAACTTTGGAGGGGGATGCTGTTCTTTCTGCAGAAGGAGCATGAAGGCAGCATGTGTAATGAAAAAATGAACAAGAACGGACTGTTGCAGAACCAAACAGCTCAGGGGACAAGAGAGAAACCTTTGCTCATAAAGTATGACTTCAACAAAGTGCACACTGTGCCAGGTGACGGTTCAGTACCTGGCACAGGTGAACTCACTGTAGTACAGTGAGTTTCTCAACATTGTCACTGCAGAAGCTCTGGATTCAAATATCATTAAAGCTTGATTAAAAAGAGATTACCATTACCTGCACGGTTGAATATATTTTTTAAATTAAAATGTGCGATATGATGACGCTTCTGTAACCCCAAAAATCCCTTTTGGAGAAAACCATTAAACATGTAATAAAAATACGTCTTATTAAGCAGAAAATAATGTAATTATTCCATTTGTTGGGTTTCACTGAACTGAAGAAAGTTTTCAAACATATTTTAATTTACTGAATGTCAGTGTGTATCTTAAACATTCTAAAATAACAATAAATCCCAATAAAATAATCTACAACTGAAGTAATAAAGTTGAAAGTATGCAGTGGAGTCTTGGTATTTATGGTTAGGGACCACAAATAAACACTTTGAAATGCCTTGTTGCTGAAAGGTGCTATGCAAATAAAATCTGATTTGATTTTGATTTGAACTATCTGTGAATTGCTAAAACATACAAATATTTGAGACCCCCACAACAAGTGGATTCTTTAATACTTTACACTCCAGATATATCTTGATGTACATTACTACACAGTGGAAACATCTACACTCTTCTTTATTTCACGCCATGCGGAAACAGCCAATCGGTGACAAGAAAAATGAATGGCTCTCCTGGATTGGCTGTTTCAAAAACACGAGCCAATAGCATGTCAAATAGCATTATGCCAAGATGTTCCAACTTCTAAGGTGATATTTGTTTCGGAATGAAAAAGAATCCACAATTAGGGACATTTTCTGTGAATATTTTGCAATATGCTCCACAGACAAATGTGTAAATGGTTAACTGCAAATACACAGAGGTTCACTTTCACGTAATGTTGCTGAACAACAATATTCATTTTATGTTTGGCCATAGTCATGCGTTACAGAGAGATGATCAAAAGTGTAAAAGAAATCAACCCAGAAGTTAATTTGAAAGAATAAACACCATCATTTTTATGAAGTTTTAATGTATACAACACACACATTTAAACTGCTGCATTTATCTCTAAACAATAAGTCACCTTATGAGGTTGTAGGGTGCAAGGCGGCTCTGTTACGTGGGGAGACTTTGCATACCTAAGAGAAGAAACGACACGTTTTGATGTCAGCGTGGCATTGAAGGCCCTGGCTTCAGGCAAAAATACAAATCAGAAAAAAACGTTGCAAAACATTAAACACGTCTCTCGGTTTACACAAAACAAGAAGCAAAAGATCTTATTTTGGATGTTATTTAAAAACTGAGCTGTGAGCCCCTGACCCAGATCACAGCGGAGGAAGAAAGGCTAAAGAACATGGCAAAAACTCCCTCCGTCTCAGCTCGTAAGGAACAAAATGAAACATTTCCATGTGGCTCCACTGATACAGATGTACCTTTTCCATAATGATTCCTCTCTTTTCTTCTCAATTAGAGTTCACATAAAGTTAGAAGGGGGGGGGATATACTTGAATCTGTGCTGTTCAGTGTCTCTCCTCAGACGTGTCTTAAAGGTGCTTTTTAGTGTCGACTATCTTTATGGGAAAAAAGAGAGTCCTTATAAAGCTCCTGGCGGATAAAATTTTTAAAAAAGGCCCGAATTGGATGGTTAGTTCAAAAGAATATGCTGAAACCAATTCCAGTGCACTGCAGCCCTGCTGTGACCCTCTTCAGGGAAGAGCAAATCTTCTTTCATTCCCCACGCACTTTAATAACGTCGCTCTCTCAGGAAGCCTGAATTGAACACAGCAATCAAAATTAATGCCTCTAAAAGCACTTGAGTAATTGTTTGGGAATGACTGCATGGATCCCATAAATAGGTCGTAAACCTCCGTTCATACCAATACAGTGAACGCCCCAGAATCTGCAGGGGTTAGGGATCACTGGGTGAAGGGATCATCTTTACCCAGTGATCCAGCCAAATTTGCAGTACCGTAATCCCGCCACACGTTGCGCTATCTGAAAAATCCCAAAGGTTTCTGAAAGGAGAGACGTTGTGCTTTCCAGCCAATATCAGGTTATTATGGTAATTTCACTCCCACCGTTGCAGGGAGTGAAAAGGTTCCAGTTGTTATGGACAACTGGGCAAATATATTTACTCACAGGACATTTAAAGAACTGCGTTCAATTAAAATAAGCAAAAATATCCAGGCGGACATTTTAAATTTAGGACATAAAGGGTTAAAAACGCTTATAATTGACCATTTTAAAAGTTCCAACACCAAATATGCTATCAAATTTAATAATATATATGGTGGAAACTGTCATGGCATAACTATGCATGTCGATTTATCCAGCCTGTCCTGTTTTTTCTCTTGGGAAGACGTCCAATCAGCATCTTGGAAAATAAATGGTGCTTTGCAAACACCAAGCCAATAGCAAGTGAAGTAGCATTGCCTGTATGTATTCCAGGTTTCCAAGCTGGAATATATTATTTCATGGGATAATATAAATGCACTCTGCTGAAAATAATCCAGTAAAGATGGAGTTTCTGCAAATAAGTTGGGATTAAATTCAACAGAAAAACCGGTGAATATTGAACTGCGTAAAGGCCGACCTGCCTTAAGCCTTAACGTTTTATTTTGCAGCCATAATAGTAACGCTCACAAAGCTGCCTGAAAATATTACATTTCAATATTTTTTTATATACTTGAATCTGTTCAGCTATTAAAGCACAACAAGCAAGAATGACCAGCAACAAACATGGCACCTAATATAGTACTGAAAAACCGGCTAAAATAAATCCACTCCATTTGGGCATTTTGTAGCTTAATGTACTCAACAGTGGATTTTTTTTTTCAACTTCACCTTCAGAAAATTCAAACTGTCTGTAATCATTAAATAAGAAATGTAAGCTGTCAGAGTTTGTTTAAAAATAAAATACTTTGCCAAAACAGGGGAAAAACGTGATGGCTTCTAGAAAGCAAGAAAGAATAGTTTAGCAGTGTGTATTTTTGCACTTTCTGTTACTGTTTGAATCATCTGCTTCTATTTAAAAAAAAAAAAAACATTATTTATTTATTTATTAGAAGAAAAAAAAACGTCCCTCTGCTCTGACAGAAGTATCTGTCCTACAAAAGTAAAGAAGAGAGCAATATGGATAAAAGGGTATTTTGAGAGATTTTTTCTTTTCTCCAAAAATGCATATTTTCGTCCAAATATAAACCAGAGCATCGACTCAAACTATTCACCAACAAGGTCACCTTTCAAAGT